GACGTTGCGCTTCCGTTCCTCGGATTTACGTCATTTATTCGGCGCACTGCTGGCTCCTCCCGCGCGGTCGAACTCCGGTTCCTGCTGTTCTGGAAACATACCAAAAGCGAAAACTCGCGTTACTGCGGATGCAAAGGCTTAAAATGCTTTCTGTTTCGGGGCTGGGCTGGGGGCCGAGGGGGAGACGGTGAGGGGGTTAAGCGCAAGCCGCGAACAGACAGAGGTAGAATCGTGAAAGCGCAGGACTACGCAATGCACAAGCACGCATGAGCAACGACGGGGCGTTTTTACCAGTGTCGAGAGATCGGCGTACGTCGCGAATCCGCCGAGAGAACATCGAGCAACGGGCACACGTTGCGCCTCGTCGGTACACGGGGATACGCCGGATGGTGAAGGCGTTTTCTTCGCGCGACCCGCGTCCGTTATAAGCGAGATATTAACCGTCGGTAATCATCGACGCTGACGTCGTCCTCTTTGCGCTCTCGCCAAACGTCTAGTCGTAACGCGAATACCTCATTTATATTTAATACAGACGCGCTCGGAGTTGAACACAGCGAAAATATCAATGATAAATATATCCGGTATCCAGAGCATATATAAATATATATGCCGTGTACCATCGGTATTATTAAAATATCATAGATATCCTTAATCGACTCCTAGGTGAATAGCATCGCGACATCGCGGGTGAGAGACGCCGTATAATTTAATAATTCCAGCCGTGAAAACTCGCAATAACTCTTCGCGATCTTCTGCGTACATTAGCCGGAGAAAAACTGTGTTTGCTTATGTGCAGTATAAACATCGGGCGCGGACTGCTCGGTGAGAGAAAGAAAGAGAAAGAAAGAGAAGGGGGGGGGGGGGGGGGCAAGAATGAAGGGAAAAGGGGGGGGNAGTTGGCGAGGAGAGGATGGCCGTGCATTTTATGTACGACGTAGAGACAGTTAAGGCGAAGAAAAAGGCACGCGGACGGGCGGGCAGGACTGTAGTACAATTTTCCGTCGCGCAAGTAAGCCGCTTACGAAAAGCGGGCTCGAGTCGCCGTTTCTCATGTTACCTGGCGCGAGTTATGGCGACGTATGTGTGCGCGTCCGGCGCACACACCGGCGTAAGGGTCGCGCCGCGTCGCGACGCGCCGGCAAAGAAAAACGTTTCGAGCGGGATCGTTTGTTTTCACCGGGATTCCGCGCGTCCGCCGAGAATCGCTGAAATAACGCCGGGCGCAAAGACTCCGCGAAGTCTCGCCGTCACTCGGCGCGATAATTGTCACGTGTGAGAGACGCCGCGTCATTAAAAATTACTTCCCTTGGGGGGAGAGGGAGAGATATGCATATTGATAACACAATGAGGCCGTATAAATATATTAACTTGTGTTGTATCATTTATAATCACGCGCAGTGTAGATATAAAGACGGAAGCGGAATGTTTTCGAGAGCTGATTAATTAGTAATTAATGAGCCGTATCGTGTACTCCAATCTACAATTTCATTCAACCTCGCGATTTTACCGGGAAATTTTTCGACGAAATTAATGTCGATTTTTCTCGGTGGGAAATTTCTTTTCGCGCAAAAATCTCTTACGTTACGTTTATTATTTTTAGAGCGTGGGAAACGATATAAACGATGGCGCATCTGACAAATATGCGAAACAGGATACGTTAAATATCGGGAACGATCGATGCAATAATGTGAAACGTGTTATGCGGTAAATGCAATCCGAATATATATTCCGATAATATTCAGATATATGAATACAAGAGCGACACCGATAATCAGATAAATTCCAATAAACTCGACAGTTGATAGTTTAGAATTAGAAAACCGATCGGAGAATATGTTGCGAATAAACTTGCACCGCATGCGAGAGATACGTGATAAATTGCCGCGTCCAGGAAAGAATGTGCAGATTCAGCTTTAACCTTTATCTGGGCACACCGAGTCCCTTTTTTGTTATTTTTATGCAACTATCGGATTTATTTTGTTCGTTTGTTCGCGTTGTCTGCACAGTTCGTTTGAAATATTTCAATTCTCACTCGCTGTCGGTATCTTTATTAACCCGGAGTTATTCGTAATTCCACTGCAGCATTAAACGCGCGTCGTATTTTCGCTCGCGCTTCGGTATACTTTTTATAATTATTTTACAAGAGATTCCTGTGTGTGTATGTGCGCAATCTGAACCGCGCCTCAGAGATGGAATATTTTCACGTTATCGCTATATATATAAAACATATTAAAGGGTATTAGTATTAAATGCCGGTAATAATATTAAGCGTCGTTAATATTATATTTCACAAGTACACAGCGCGTGTTAATTCGTGAATGTTGACGAGGTATCATAGTCAATTATTGTAATAGCTCTTTATTACAGTATCGTTAAATAATCATTCCTTTGAAAAACTGGTTCTTCCGGTCTCGCGGAAAGCGTATCACCGGGATAAAGGTTAACGCGGTGGCCGTGCATGTCGCTGAATCAGATTGCGTCTACTGTTGATCCCGGAATGAGTCGTTGATATCGTCTCGCGACGCAGACGCGAAACTTTGATCGGGAAAAACGAACCTCGGCCGGCTTTATTAATAATTATTACGTACGAGGCGGAGCCGGTCAGGCACGACTAACGTACTGAATCTTCTCTCTTTCTTTCTCTATCGCTTTCGTGATTCGCTTTCGTGCTCGAGAGCCTGCACTCTCTCTCCCTCCATCTATCTCTTTCGCTCGCTCGCACGCTCGATCTTTCTCCCTCGCTCTCTCCCTGCTGCCGGTCGAATCGATATACGTGCACGAATGCGGCTTCGAGCTTCGTCCACTTCTTCTTTCACGTGACTACCGCAGGAAAGAGGGCCGACCGAATCAATATCTCACACAGACGTTTCGACCTCGTCGTCGCTGCGAGCTCCTCCGTACCTTCGAAGGTCGTTCTCATCGTCCGAGCCGAATCCGGCGATGCAAAACGACTGAATCCCTAATTAACCTCCCTTTTCTACCGTGCCCCCGACCGACCGACCAACGCGACGTGCATCTATCCCGTCTCCGCTGTGTGCGCGTGTGCACGTGAGAGAGCACGTGCATCGAGAGCGCGAGCGCGCTACATCGCGACGCGTTCGACAAGAACGGTTGATCGACACACACTCGGCGTGTATCAAATTATACGGGACCTTGACGGAGCACTCGACACCTTCTGACTCTCCTCGAGTGTCGTTACGAGTTGCGGCGAAGGCGGAATTTGTCGCGCTACACGGATCGAATGATAATATTGAGAACTTCAATGGCGCAACAATCCCGCAGAATTAATCGAGCGCAAAGTCACCACGGATTTGTGATCTTAACCCTCTGACGGCAAGGTGGATTTTCAACGTATCTAGGAGAGTAGGCAAGTTGGATCCCATGCTTTGTTTTGTTTATTTCTCATGTAATCAACGTACAAAAGGGGCAAAAGAAGTAAGCAATAGCATGGAATATTCCTGAAAAAGAGAAACAGCGCGCTATAGAATAAACAAGTCGTAGGGTCATATTCGACCTCAACCTTGCCGTTAGAAGGTTAACACGCGTGCAATTCAGTCGAACGTTTTGTTTCCCGACGATAAATACACGCGAGAATTAAGATGCGCTGCGAGAGAATTCATTTCTGTCATCACAGAGTTTATTTAATCGTTCGTCGACGTGTATTTATACTTCACATACTGTTAACAAGTTCGAAGTGCATACGACGGAAAGAGAAATATATCTGGCGCTGATTTCGAAACAGCGCCCCGGCAGGGCGGAATATTAGTTAGAAATGCGGTTTTCGTGTTTACGTGCTTTTATTTGTCGGCCGGTCCATTTATAACGTCGCCATTATAATGTACCGGTTGGATACGTGATTGCGGTCGATTGGACAAATCCGTTGATGCGAAAGATATGCCGACAGAGAGGCGGTTTCGATCGACAGAGGGTGAGTGTATGAACGAGGGAGAAAGTTACGTAAACAGAGATGCGCGCGAACGGACGAGAGAGAGAGAGAAGGAAAAGGCGAAAAAGAGGGGGGAAGAGAGAGAGAGAGAAAAAGCAGCGAGGTAGAAAAAATGATTTTTAACATTTCCAATAGATTGCGCCTGATTACCCGAGCCGCACGAACGGGCACGTGCAGTTCTGCACGCATACAACCATGTGTGCATGAGCACGACTCATTCGACGGGTCTCCCTTTGTGCGCGGAAGCGAGAGTAAGTAAAATAAAAAAAAAAAAAAAAAAGGGGGGGAAAAGGAAAAGCGAAATTAACGGAATGAAACAATGGGAACGACCGGGCTTAAGGGTTGCTACCGGCTGTGTAATGGAATTAGGTCCGATTAAATTAGCTAAAAGGATTTCGGGTATGTACCGAAGGAGCAAACTGCGTTTTCGATATTATCGTATTTCTTTCTCGTGCCTGCGGATACGGCTCCTCGGTGCTCCATTCGCGCTCCTAATGCGACCCTGATAACCACCGTGTAACTCACATCCGTACAGAGTTCTCCGTACACCGGGGTCCAATTATTTCTCTTATTTCCTAACCGACCGGATGAAATAGAAGTTGACCCCATCGTCACACTTTTCGGCTCGGTTGTCGTCTAAAAGACGGCAGAGAACCAGAAGAGAAAGAGAAAAAGAGAGAAAAAGTTGCATCACCACGTTGGTTATATTTTTATAAATTTTCATCGACCACAATTTTCCGAAATATAAGTTTCCACTGTACGAGATTACATCACTAAATTAAGAATCGAGTGATTGTTCATACTGTCAAATTTGAAACATTCATGCTCAGTCT